ATATTTTAAATATAATCATTTGCATGCTCGTCGCGTTAAGTGAAAATATTTATGCTAAACATGTACTGTAGTATAAAAAAACAAACTTAGAATTTATTGAAGTCTGGAAGAGTAGTCCTTGGTATATCTCTGAAAAAGATGTATAACTTACGAATAAAGTGTAGATTAACGTTCGTTTTATTGGCTTAGCATTGCAATGGCATAACTTATACTTTATCTTGTTGGAGTATAAATAAAATAATATTTCCGGTAACCTAACCCTTCCAATCGAAAGAAAATTATACGAATATCATTACAATACATTTTTTCGTCCATAGAGATCTATCTTGTCATCTCTTTTTATATACACTCTAAATAATTATCTAGTATGAAAAAGTACAATTTAAATAAATCTTAGAAACCGCTAATCTTTTTATTAATTTAGATTGTAAAATCTGAATATGAAATTCACTGGTACCATCTATTGTCTTATTTTGAACAGTATTTCATTAGAAATATTTATCGAAGATTATTTATCTTTATCTATTATATGTATAGGAAAATTAAAAGTAACTTAACTATATTATTATGGTTTTTATTTTTAATCATATTAGATATTACACGATTTGATCAATTTTTGGTTTATTAAAATTTAGCTCTTCAAATTTTAATTTCAATAACTAATACCTATCATTTGTGCACATTGTAATGGCAAATATCATTCGAATGACTTCTAATGAGTGTGCAATAAAATATATTCAATATTATATTTTTACAGAGCAGTGGACCTGATGGACCAGCGCCAGTCCACTTTGAACCACAGGTGGCCGTTCTTTGTGACTCAAAATCAGATGCACCATATTATAGCCAATACATGTCAGAAAATGGTCGATGGACGTCTGACACAAAACGTAAAGTTGGATGCTTGAAGGAAAAAGTTGATATTTTGGATTATTGTAAAAAAGTAAAAATAATTATTTTTTTTATTATATCTTATATTTATATTATTCTATAAATAAACAGTTAGAATATTTTGTTTACAAATACGTTTTAAGAATATAAATTTTTTAAATTAATAAATTTAAAGAGCAATTTCAAAATTATATGTTTTTGAAATTAAAATTTGAGTTTTTTAGTATAGTTAATTTCTAATTGATTCAATATATCCGTTTTTATTTTTACTTGAATCTAATCTGGGAAACAATTTTTAGGTTTATCCGAAGAATGACATCACAAATATAGTTGAATCAAGCCATTATGTGAAGATTGGTAACTGGTGTAAAATGGGATACAATAAATGCAAGCATACGGATTGGGTGAAACCGTACAGATGTCTTGGTAAGCGTTTAGTTTAGTTTTTTTATAATTACAGACTTTATGGCCTATCTTGTGGCCAACCCAATATCCATACAAGAACCGCCCACCTCAGCCTACAGCTCTTAACGATTCCAATAATTATTTAACATTTATTTATCATTATACTACAACTTATTTTTCAACAGAAGGACAATTTCAAAGTGATGCGCTTTTAGTTCCCGAGAATTGTATATTCGATCATGTTCATAATCAGAGTAAATGCTGGCCGTTTGACCGTTGGAATCAAACAGCTGCACAAGCTTGCCAAGATCGTGACCATAATTTAAGAAGTTTTGCCATGTTACTACCATGTGGAATTTCCTTATTTTCTGGCGTCGAGTTTGTGTGCTGTCCATTTAAAGGTAATAACTTATAACATAACAATTTAATAAAATGGACGATAATGTATATTTATATTTACTCCAAATAGATTAAATTTATTTAAAAAAAAATACATTTTAAAATAGAAATTATAATAAACTTATTTAATTTTATTCTAAACAATAAATTTGATTTTTTTTTACTGAAAAATTTGTTG